TTCCTCCTCCTGCCTCCTGGGAGGCACCTGGGGGCCTTCTTGGAATGTGCCCCTGGGATGAGGCTTGCTTGCTTCAGCAAAATCCTTTAGCAATGCTTAAGAGAAAGTGAATAGAAGTGCAGGCAGAGGAGGTTGAAAACAGAGCAGGTCCTACTTTCTGTGAGCAGGCTTCTGTCATAAACCCCTTCTACACTGATCCACAGAATAAATGTTGGAGGTGTTAAAGAGTCCAAGTAAAAGCACAGCTGTTCACAGACTTCATGTTAGTGTGACCCTGTCATGGAGGTGTGACATCATTACACGGATTTGCGAGTCAGTGCTTGGGACTCTTACCAACTGAGTAGTGGAATTGGTGGATAAACCCAAAGATAAAGGATTGGTTCTCTAAAAACCCAGATGCTGGGTGGTTTTATATGAATCCAAATGTGTGTGTGGAGCATTATGAGCAGTGCCAGACCCAGCACCATGGTAAGTTCTCATCCTGACTGTGGATGTGGCTCCAGTGTCCTGGAGAAACTGCCTTCAAGTGAGAAATCAGTTTTTTCATTCAAACACTGGTGTTTCTGCTTTGGATTGCATGATAGTTTTGTGGTTTGGATGCTGGTCCTCTAAGACTGGCAGATTTAGGTTTGAGTCCCAGTGGATCCTACTTTGAATCAGAGAATGCAGATTTAATTTTCAGGTTATGATCTTTATTTACCGCTCTTGTTCCACATTACCTCCTGGGGGTATCACTGAAGAAAATTTATAGGTTATATCAGATTGCAGGATTATGATTAGATAATAAAAGCATCAGTTTTCAAAAGAAAGAAAAAGGAACAAGCCTTCCATTTGTTCAGCAGGGCAGAAGTTGAAAATTGGGTAGAGCAGTCAATTCTGCTTGGTCACCATCTTTCAGCATAGTTTGGAATATCCTAGGCAAAGCATATTTTACTCTCGTTTGCAAGCAAAAGCTGGAAGTGAGCTGTGAGTCATTTTAGAATTAAATCCTATCCTAAAATTTAATTTGTGACCTAGAAACCTAAGCTAGAAACAATAGGACTCTAAATATTTCAGCAGTTGTTCACATGTGCCTTCACAGAGTTAATACTGAGCTCTCCCTGTCGCAGGACAGGGAATTTTCCTTCAGTGCATTTATACATCTGTAAGCCAGCCACATATGAAAACAATAACCAAGGAATAAGGAAAAAGTCAATAAGGAAATTTATATATAGCTGCTATTAAACTGGAGGAAAACAAATCATCTGTTGGGGTCAGTTTCAGTGGGAAATCAATTTGAGCAGAGTTTTATTGTCGTCTCTGCAGATCCTTCATGTTATTTGCTTGCACCTTTAATAGTCATGACTGAGGAGGTTTTTACACTTGAGCCTGAGCTCCCTGAATCATTGTGTTTGTTACCTTTTCAACATCCACATTCCCAGTTGTCACAAATGCTACCTAACAACAGCGAGTGCTCAAAGTACATTTCCCCTGTTAGCTCCAGGGAGTTTTCAAGGTTCCTGTTAAGTGCTCAGAGCAGTTAGGCTGCAGTGCCAGACAAATTTGAACCATGTGAAGTGTAAAAATGCCTCCCTGTGCATTGCATGGGACTGCTGAGACTGAAACTCTTCATATATGTCCATACAAGCCTAAAGTTAGCCATAAAAGCCCAGCTCCTATTCAAGTGAAGAAGTTGAGTGCTAATACATTAATCAAAATATCAATAAAATTGAAATACCTAGCAGCATACGAGACATGGGATTATTTAAAAAAATCACAGAAACATCTTCTTTGTGTAAAAAAGTACTCTCCTTAAGTTTCACCTTTATATGCAAGTTTTCTAAATGGTGAACTAATTTAACCTTTGCATTCCTATTGAAACTTTGATATAATTTTTAAATTTTCAATTAATCCTAAAAAGCTTGATAATGTCTCATTATTTGCTAGCCCAGTTGCTTTGTCAGTGAGAGCTGCAGATTTAAGACAGAAATTTCATTTTTAATTTTCAGTTTAAGATAGAAAAATAATGGAAATTCAATGAAAAATGGCTGTTCTAAAATGTCATGTCTTTCTCTTCATTTTGTAGCCTGATTTTGAATTCCATCTCATCCTATTGTGGTTATTTAATTCTCTTTAGAAACTCTTGATTCTCTCCTCCTCATAAGAAAGACTAAAGTCTAAGCATTGTTGCACATGGTGATGCCTTCACTGTTTATTTGTTTATAATGTTAACTGCCTGTACTTTGATTTTTCTCTCTGCTGGGTTTTCAGACATTTCCAATTAAATAGTGAAATACAGTAACTGAGCTGCTCTAATGTTACTAAATAGAAATTAAGGCTGATTTCTGTTTAGACAGTATTTAGCATATTAAGGTTTATATTGTATTCTGGGGATGTGTACAAAAAGAAATTAATTAAATGGCCCAAATATCAAGTTATTTATCAATTACAGCCCAGCCCTGGGTTGGGGCCATATTCAGGTTACCTTAACTCTTACTGTATCTTAAATTAATTGATTGCAGTAGATTTAAGCATAAACTTAGAAGTCACCTGAACGAGGAATTTTCTTTAATTGGGTTCAAGCCTTCTAGCCCTTTTCAAACCCACCTAACAGGTATAGAAAAAAAACAAACAAACAAACAAAAGGAATGCATTGAAATTTAAAACTGTGACAGTCCAGCTTGTCACTGACCAGCAAAGAAAGGTTTTGTGCTGGGATTTTTTTTCCATTTTGTCTCATCTTGGTGGGGGATTAAAGCTGTCTGAAACATGATGTTCCCTTGATTATTTATCTCCCCTCCCTGAGCCCATGCAGTGGGATTCTGGTTCTTCCAGACACTCTGCATGTCTCATTTCTGAGCAGCTTTGGGAACCCTAGGGATTAGGGAAGGTATATGAATGTTTTATAATGTTATTGATAACTGCAGAGCAGATGTTTTCTAATAAACTGCTGTGAGATAAGTTACTGGTAGCATCTGCAGAGATGTGTGCAAATGAGCTCAAAATAATTAATACTGTGTTAGGAGAGAGTTTGTTTTTTTAAGTTTGTCTGTATTGGAGCATGCAAGATTGTTTCAGCCTGCCCTGAGTATCTTTTAGAGCAAAATTACCATAATTTATTAGGGGAAAAACCATTTCTGTTAATCATATATTAATTATTCATAAAATCAGTTTTAATTTTACCTTAATGGGAAGTGTTACCAGCTGGGTACTGGGCTTGACAATCTATTCACATACAAAAAAAAAAAAAAAAAAAGAAGAAAAAAGAGAGATAAATAGCTTGACTTAAAAAGAAGACATAAAAATGACTTAGGAGAGCATAAAAGCAGCAAGTATGGATATATGAGTTCCCATGGAGCTGGCTACAGCAGGGAAGTTCAGCCTGCTAAGCACTTTGTGTTTTGGCTCTGGCACTGGTTTGTGGGATTCAAGTGGAATTGCTGAAGGATGTTTGTTGCACACAAATCCTGTATGCTTCTCCCAAACTGATTTTAGGAATTTAAATTCAGGATAAATTCTTCCTGCTGGAAGAAAAAAGAAAAAAAAATTGCCACTTTTTAATCTTTTGTGAACAAGGTGAAATGTGAAAATGCTGTTCAGAGGATGTGTTCAGCCTGGAATGAACATGAAAAAGTGGATCCTGCACTCTGTTAAAGGAGGATTTCAATACTTAGATTGTGACTCAGGACTAGAAAGTATATTGTGCTGGAAGTTTAGCAAAATTAGAAGCAGAATGAATTTTCAAAAATTTATTCTAATTAAAACCTTTATTTTCCTTTAATTTTCTTCCTTTTTTTTTTTTTCTCCTGACTATTGAAAGTTCTTTAGCAAAAATGAAAACCCAAATAGAAAGGGCATTGGCTGCAGCATGCAAATATGTAATGCCTATAAAGTACAGCTAGTTTTATATGAACAATAAAAGCTTCAGAGGGTTCAGCTGATACTAAATTGTTGAGATCAGCTCTAGAGCCTTTTTATTAGGATAACAAATGTTGAAATTATAAACAGATTTTATTTACATGTTAAGATAAAAGGCTGTTTATTAGTAAAAGATTTTTTTTTTAAATGACAGTTACAACCTCCAGTGTGTGATCTGTAAAATATAATCTGATGAATTTTGGCCAAAGCTATGGAAGAGAAGCATTTGGAGTGGGAAGCCAACCCAAAAGAAACAAAACAAAACTAAATAATTTTCAAAAATTGCACAGCTTTCAGTGAGTCCAGGAAACCCAGACCAGGCCTTGGAACAACTTATGGATCTGGGTGGTCTAAAATTGAACCAATGTTCAAGAATCTTAAGTAATTATTAATTTTTTATGTGTGTGTTTAACATTGATGCTATTTCCAAGTTGTGGGTGGCGTGTGAACCTGTGGTATGCAATCAGTTGTCATGCCTAACCCTGATCAATGCACATAAAAAATTACATTATTTTGCTGTTTGGATTTTTCTTTTTTATTCATTTTCAAGGAAATGTGGTGAAAAGAGAAGTGTGTATGGGAGCAATTTTCATCTTGAGAACTTACCAAATAATGATGCCAAAGAGGCTGAATTGTGCTGATGGTTATTCCCAGCCCTGAGTACCAGGAGCTCCTTGTACTTTAATGCATCCCAGCACCCTTTTAGACTTTCTTATCAAAATGTTGGGAAAGTCTAAAGTCAGAGTTCTGCAGGGTCTGGCAATGATAATGCCTCAGCATTAGAACAAACAGGTACTGCTGCTATTTTGCTCTGTATTTTCACCCGCTGAATATATTTCATTGCTTACACTGTAGTAGCAGATCAAAACCATCTGCTGCCTTGCCACCAGTCCTCCTCCAGTGGAGGAGAAAATCTCAGCTTGTTTTCCGTGAGGCCAGGCTGCTCCAAGGCAGGAGTACCACGGCTGCAAGCCAGCTGCTGCTGTCGGTGCGGGGCCAGACCTTTGCTGGGTTAAATGGAAACCTCGCTCCTTGCCAAGAGCTGGAACAGAGATAAACTCGGTTTGCTTCTCTCCCTCCCCTCTCCCCTGCCCCCTCTGCAGCTCCATCGCCCATCACAGTCATAAGGAAGGACAGGACGTCCAGGAACAGCGTGTCCCTCTCCTGGCAGGAGCCCGAGCATCCCAACGGGATCATCTTGGACTACGAGGTCAAATACTACGAAAAGGTGGGAAGGTCAAAGGGGAGGGGTTTGCTCAGCACTGCTGGGATGAAATGAAATCATTGCATCTTGCCCGTGTTAGGGATTCAGAAACACTCAGCTTTGTAGAGCCTGCCTCAACAGCACTGTGTTGGAACTGCTCGATTTTTGGTGATGAGAACATCAGGAAATACAAAATAAAATCATTCACAGAATTCACAGAATGACTAGGTTGAAAGAGACCTTCAAGATCTCTTGATCCTTGACTCTTGATCTCTTCAAGACCATCAAGTCCAACCCAGCCTCAACACCTCAACTCAACCCTGGCACCCAGTGCACATCAGGAAATACAAAATAAAATCATTCACAGAATTCACAGAATGACTAGGTTGAAAGAGACCTTCAAGATCTCTTGATCCTTGACTGTTGATCTCTTCAAGACCATTGAGTCTAACCCAGCCCCAACACCTCAACTCAACCCTGGCACCCAGTGCCACATCCAGGCTTTGTTAAACACACCCAGGGATGGGGACTCCGCCACCTCCCCAGGCAGACAGTTCCAGAACTTTATCACCCTTTCTGTAAAAAACTTTTTCCTAATATCCCTCCTATATTTCCTTTGGTGCAGCTTAAGATGTGTCCTCTGGTTCTGTCAGTGCTGTCTGGAGAAAGAGCCCAACCCCAGCTGAGCACAGGCACCTTTCAGGAGCTGTGGAGAGTGATAAGGTCACCCCTGAGTCTCCTTTTCTCCAGGCTAAACAGCCCCAACTCCCTCAGTTGTTCCTCATATGGATCCCCAAGCATATCAAACAAACACAAAGTAATGTAGTCAATATTTAACTCCTTTAATTTCTTATTTTCTCCACTAAGATTTTGTTGTTATGCTGTTCTATCATGCTGTCAGTGTCCCTGCGTTTACTCACATGCTGGTGGCACTTCCCTGTGGCATGAGCATCTTCTACATGAAAATTATTTGGAAAATGTTGGCTGGCCTATGGGGCTGGTTTAGACTGTGAAAGTTGTTTCTGTGAATAACTGAATTATTCAAAAATTGTAAGCAAATAACTACAGATGAAAGAAAACCTACCTTTTCCTTTTTATTGAAATTTTCTTTTATTTGCAACTGTTTATTTAGACATCTTATAGAGATCTATATTTACAAAAAAAAGTCTTTGTAATTGAATGTTTTTAGGAGGTCTTACTGGTAGAATTGAAAAGACCGTAAATTGCCTGGAGATTGAGGAATGTGGTATTAGCCATTTTTTGTTAGCTCTATTGATAGCTTTATTTGATATATTGCTCCTGGAATTAGAAAACTTTGAAAAAAATGCCAGAATTCTGGTTTAATTGAGCATTTGCTAACAGTCTTCATATCTAATCAGGCTTATATTTCATACATACCAGAGAAGATGTAATGATAATATCCTCTAAGAAATGCTGTTAAAAATACCCCATGAGTATTCAGTTAATATTTAGAATTTTTTTTTTTCATGGAACTTTTGAGTGGGACAATGTGGTATTGGTAGCTCATGCCTGATCTTCAGATGAAGAAAGAGGATCAGAAGGCTGGATGCTGAAAAGATTTCTCCCAAATTTATGTAATCTGATTTTGGGAAGAGTTTTTTTGGTGAGCACTTGAACTTTCAAAGACCTTGGTAAAAATTTAAACATGCCTTGTGCTGGTGATAATGGGAGAAAAAGAAATGATCCAAAACATTTCAACTCAGTCTCACTTAATGGAGCAGCATCCGTGGACTTCTACGTTGTTTTGTTTTTAATTTCAGTTGGGACAGGATCAATTTCAGTCATCCTCAGGAAGGCTGGGCCCCATCACAAGTAACAGGGACTTGGGAAGACAAATGCCAACACTCCAGATATCCCCCTGTTCCTTCCTATATCCCAGCCTTACAAGCTGAGCATGGGGCCACATGGGGTGGGATATCCCTGTACCCAGCTGGGATCAGCTGTCCTGGCTCTGTCACCTCCCAAATCCTTGCTTACCCCCAGCCTCCTCTTTGGAAAGGTGTAAGAGGCCTTGGCACTGCAACCACTGCTCAGCAATAACAAAAACACCTCTGTACTATCAAACCTGTCTGTTTTCAGTGCAATTCCCACAGCTACAGCTGGATATTGTGAAGAAAATTAATTCCACCCCAGCCAAAAACAGCACAGGTGATCTCTTGGGTTTTACTTGTCCCAAAGGGAGAGATTTTTTTTCCCCTGCTGTGCACATTCAGTTAATTTTAATTAAGTCACCAATAAGTTTTATTTGTGTTGGTTTGGGATGTTTTGACCATCTTTCTACACTGAAATTGGGGTTTTATGTTCGAGAAAATTGCCATGCAGTGTTGTGTTATGCACAGACAGAGCACACAGCCCCTATTCCCACCGGGTGTATCCACTCTCAGGGAGCACTTGGTTGTCAGAAGACAGCTTTATAAGACAACCCACCAGTTTAGGAGGCTGATCTTGCACATGTGTTTCTCCCCTTTGAAGTCTGTGATCAAGAGTTCATATGCACCAGACAGTTTTCTTAAACCAGGGAGCCAAGTGCTTGACAATGGGAGCCAGACCATTTAGAGCAAAAGGCTTTTAAAAAGCCAACCTTTCTGGCACCAGCATTTTTAATGTGTGTTCTGCAGGCCCTTGGGGAATCAGAAGCCTATTCCTCAGGGTTTATGAGGGGAAAAAAATTTAAAAAGCAAATCTGTTGTCAGGAGACTTGAATCTATGTATTTTTAAGCTTTGCAAACAGGTTCAAAACTAATCTGATAAACTTACCTGGGGCCAGAGCAGCTCATGCAGAATTGTTACTCTTCATTCCTCCACCAAACACCTTTGGAAGATGCTGCTTTTCAGTCTGGGATCTCTGAGCATGCTTCCTTCCCTCCTCTTTTAAAAGGCAAAGTTTCTTTTCAAACTGGTCCACTCCATTTGATTTTCGGCTTCAGAAATCATCTTGGTTGTGCTCATCAGAAAATCCACTGCTGTTAAGTGGAAATAAACCCTTCAGAGTTAGCAAATCTTCAGGGTATTTCTCCTGACAAGTCATACCTGATTGTTGGTAGATGGTTTATTTTGAGGCATCCTTTTTCATCCTGCTTGCTTTCAGTTGATACGTGTTTTGTCATCTCTTTAAAATGAAAAAGGGCATTCATCATAAAGAAATTAAAAATTAGAGCATTAATAGAGCAATGCAGGTCAGCCCAATTCTGTCATACATCTTGTTCGTGGCATTATTTTGCTAAGCTGGTCTTAAGGTATTTAGGATATTACAAGAGATTTGGAGTAAAAAATACAATGTCATGTGTATTAATTGTAATATCTTGTATTTTTTTCTCATGGATTATTGTCATAAAATATGTGAAATATATTCAGTTTCTCAAGGGAAGTTAATTAACCTGCTCATTTTGGGTTTTTTCATCAGTTATTGCCTTTGTGTAGCTGAAAGAGCAGAGCTTTATATGTGTCTAAAGAAATCAGTAGCTACAGCTTTAGGAAACTATTTCAACTCTTTGGAATTAATCAGGATGGCCTGGGTTGAAAGAGACCTTTAAGATCATCCAATTACAACCCCTTGCTATAGTTAGGGGTGATTTCCACTCTCCCAGGTTGTCCAAAGGCCCATCCAGCCAGGCTTTGAACACTTGATAGCATGATGAACTGAGTGGCAGTTTTTTAGAAACAGTGTTTGGAATAGAATTGTATTTTTTTGCAAAAAAATTTAGAGCTTTATTATGAAGCCCCAGTCAATATTTATTCATTTAAAATACTTAAAAGACACAAAATCTTGCAGAAGGAGACCATATGGAATTCTTAGGCATTTATTTTATGGTAAGACATAACATTTTATGTTAAGTTGATGGTACTAAATGACACCTCAGTTTAGCTCATCCATATAATGCTGTGCTGAATTTTAAGTGTCTCATCCATCAAAGTGCATAAATAACAAAGCCATGTTTTGTCCTTACACCAACCTTATTCTTGTTTCCTCATCTTTGTTCACATAATCATGTTCTCTTGAAGAAGTATCTTGTTATATGAAGGTACAGAAGAAAACCATCTCTTAAATACCTATTAATTGTTTCAACTAAATACGTACCTTACAATTAAATCACGTCTCTTTATTAAGATGGAGTCTTCTGCAAACAGTGAATGAAATTCAGCTGCAGGCTGACGTTGCTGAAATAGATTTGCTTTTGCCATCATAGGAATTGTGTGGTTACAGCCAACACAGAACTCTGCACTTTGAGGCTGAAAAAGTGCATTATATTCAAATGTACTTTGTTGCCTTTGAACTCTCATTATTCTGGCTTTAAGTGCAGGTAGGCCACGAATACTCCACAAGACTTGTAGGAAATGTCATATCCATGCAGAGCTCACGTCTGGCAATAAGGGAAGCAGTATCAGGGCTGTGGCCTCCTCCAGAAATGTGTGCTCAGGTTTTGGCCTCTCAAGTGCACATGAAGCTGATGGAAAAAAAATATTTTTCCTTCTATAATATAAGCACTTTCTGTGCTTATCTGAAAAAGGGCAAACCATTCACCCTTCCTGGTATCAATTTAAAATGTCTCCAAAATATGGTTTTTGTAAAGCAAAGTGTAAAATTATAAAATGTCACTTGCAAATGAGACACTAACATCAGTAGGATTTGCCTCCCAGCAAAGGTTGCGTCTGGTAAACTATGCAGAAATATTCAGGAAGAAATTGCTTTGTGCATCCAAGTTCAAATTTATCCTCAGAGTGTTTGGTTGAAGTTCTGCTTGGCAAGGACTGACTCTCCTTTTTGTATATTCCTTCTGCTTATGGCAGCTCTAGTGCTGTATCTCTGAAGTTTTGCTTTATCCCCAAGAAAGATAAACTCAGGCTTTTATGTGGTGTTGCACTGATTTGATTATTACTAACATAAAAAATTACTTACAAAATATGTGTGTAAAAAGCTTCCCATAAACTGAGATACCATGACATCCTCCATACCATTGTTTTAAAGGTTTATTTTCCAAGTTCCAATGTGGATTATTAACAGACAGGGCCATGACTCTGTTTTCCCTTGCACGTATGTATCTGCACCAGAAGGAAATGTTTGCATTTCATAAAAGCAGCCTGAAGGCAGATCAAAATGAATGTCCAGTCATAGCATACACAAAAGATGTTGTGTTTTAAAGACAAGATTATTATGTCTTTGAAATTAAAATAGTTGCCTACATCCAACTGAAAGACAAGATAAGGAAAGCCTGCAAATTATAATACTAGGCCTTTGTTAGTTCAAAAATAAATAATCTTGCACAAGCCTGTTAGCTCTTTACAGTGTCTTCCTGTAAATTTGCTCCCCTCAATTTAGAACAGAGAACTTTTTAGAGAAGTATTGGGAAACTTTGAGGAGGTCCAGTGCTGATTTCCTTTTTATTTTTACTGTGCAAAGAAAATGGGCCATGGTCTACACTTTGATAGTCATTCTTTGAGGACTGGGTCCAGCTCACCCTATCTGAGGTTTAGATTCTGGATAGTAACTTTTAGGCACAGGCTCAGCTGCTTTTTCTGTTTTCTTAATTTTTTTTTTTCCTTTTACTGCGATTTCTCTTGAGCATAGTGTTGAATACTGCATGGAGATTCTGGCAAATTTCCTAACCATGGTGTAAATGTTTCTGTTTCTCTATATCAAAGTGCTGCCAAGAACAGGGCACTTAGGCTTCTTTAGCACCAAAGTGAGCAGTTTCTGATGTTCACCTACTAACCTAGAATACCCTGACTCTATTCCTGCAGACAGCAGAGCAAACACACTAAAACAACTCCAGTCTCTTGAACTTTACACGTGAAGGTGAAATGGCAACGAGTGTGTTGGGTGTTTTCCAAGCCCTGAGCTCGTGCGTTGGCACTGCAGTGTTGTCAGAGTGAAAATGTCAGCCCCTCACCAGCTAATGCAATGCCATGAGAGATGATGAGGATTAGGTGAGATGCCCTGCATCCGACGTGCCTGCGCCGGGCTCCCGCTTTCAGCCCGGCCGGATTCAATGGCTGCAGTGTTCTGCCCGGTGTTCAAAGCAAAAGGACATCACATGAAATCCCCACCACCTCCAGAAGGAAAAAAAGTTCATGGTGGGGAACCTAAACAATTGAGATTCTCACAGTTTCCCACATGTGTGGCTGCTGGCCAAGAGGGTTTTTTTTTCCTGAGACAGTTCCAGCTGCCATATTTAGGAAGCCAAAAATGCTCTTTTGGTGCAAGATGGCTTTAGTAAAATAAGCAGTACCTCAGGCCCCAAATGCATGCTTAGATGTTAAGATTATGTGCTTATAGTGGGACAGAGACATACTTTTATCAGGATTAGCTTTTTACACAGTGTGAAGTGTATCCAAACTTACCAAATTACAAACCAGTCCTCCTCTTATTTTATATAAAAAATGTTATGTCAGACATAGGTGACTCTTAAGCAGAGAGGGGTTATGAACGTAGTCCAGGATTGAGTTCAGTGTGGTTTTGTCCAAGTGAGGATGAACACAACTATCTCATAGTTTTTATAGCATAATGGAAAACCAGCTCAATCTGCCTTTTTGCTGAGCTGAGGAGCCTGAGTGGGGTTTCCCTCCTGACTGTTATAGAGGTAACACTGTCTTGTAAAATGTGAGGCAGTAAAATCTGCATCCTGCAACAGCTCTGCAGGGCCCTAAAATGTCTAAGTTGGCCTGTTACAACTTCCAGTTCAGTGCAGTAGGCAAATCTGATTTATTTTTTTTTTTTTTAATAATATTTTAATAATTTTCTTGTTGTATTACAGACCACAGACAAAATGATGCAAAACCATTTAATAAAATATCATAAACTCAGTATGTCTAGTATTCGAGTATTCTAGTATTACAGCAGAATACCATAGCAAATCTGATGATTTAAGGTATCTTGTTAAAAGGTGATTGAAAGTGAACGTTTGCACAAGCATTTGCTAGGCTGTAAATATTAAAAAATACACCAGTTGCCTCCAGGACATTTGTAGTCATTTAGTACCAACCACCTCTTTTTTTTTTTGTTTTTTTGGGGTTTTTTTTAGGGTGTGGTTTTAATCTGATAATGTCTTTTTTTCAAAAGCAGGAACAAGAGACAAGCTATACAATTCTGAGAGCCAGGGGCACCAACGTGACCATCAGTGGCCTCAAGCCTGACACCACCTATGTCTTCCAAATCCGAGCCAGGACTGCAGCTGGATATGGCACCAGCAGCCGCAAGTTTGAGTTTGAGACCAGCCCAGACTGTATGTATTTGTTCAAAAGGTTTTTGCTGACATCCTGCCCAGTTCCTGACTGATCTCAATGGCTGCTTTCACTCCTTCTCTAGCTGAGGAAATGTGTCTCATAACTATTTATGATGTGTCTGTCTTGGTAGCATTTCTGGGTAACTTTATGTTTTATCATTAAACTTGAAACAGTCTGTAAAGAAAGTTCTATCCCAGAACTATCACAGGTGGTGTTTTCTTCCATTCCCTACCCTACTTCTACCTCAGGCCAGGATTGATGCCTTGCTAGACCATGGCTCTTGCTGAGGGAGGAAGTGTGATAGAAAAACAAAGAGTAGTTTCAAGCCAAATCTTTCACCCTGATTCTGTGTATATTTGAGATATATTATGCATTTCATCCCCGCTTCTTCCTTCTCCACCCCAGTTTTTATTCTGAAAGGCAAACAAGCTTCATGTTTTAAAAAAAAAATGTTACAAATTGCTGTTATGGTGACTTGCAGCTTTGGTGTTCTAGTTGAAACTAGAACTCAAGTTACAGGACAATTACAGCAAGGAAACAATCAGTTGCACAGATAAAAAAAATTAACAGTTTAGAGGTTAATGAGTTTTCTCTGCAAAGTAATGTTACCCAAAGAAGGGGAAATTGAAAAAGTAGAAATGTGGAAGGAGACAGGGGTGCCTATCTCAATAATAAGCATAAAATTTGCCCAGATGACCAACAAATGGCATAAGTTTGTTTCTGTGTTACCCAGTTGTGATAACTGGGTGCAGCTGTGGGTGTGTAACAGGCACAGATGGGAATGGTGTGACCCTAAAGAGAGGCTCTCCAACCTGTGTGGGCCAGGAGTGTTAGCTGGAGACTGGTTCTCACAGCAAAGGTCTAAAGCCATCCTGTCATTTTGTCACAGTCTAAAGTTCCATGCTCAGGGACCACAGGGAGATACCCAAAACAAGGCAGAAAATAGCCCTTATTTTCTCTGTAAACATCTGTGCCTGCATGCTCTGGCTTTCCACAACCTTCATGTGGATATTGTCAGGCTTTAGTAGGAAACTTAGCTCCTAAGAACACTTTCCATCATACAGAAGGGGAAAGGAAGCTGATGATTATGGGATTTTGTGCCAAGGAAGAGTTCCTTAGTGAGCATGACATAAAGTATGTATGGCATACATGACATGTATGTTTGTATTTATGTATAAGTTTATGTTTTAGCATCAGTTTGCCAGCAGTTGCTACATTTAGCAAAAGTAAAAAATTGAGAGTCGCAGAAACAGATTTGGTAAATTGGCAAAGATGGCTCGGGTCTGAAGTTTTCTTTCCTTGTATTTATTTGTTTGATGAAAGATAATGTTCTGAATTCAATATCTACCAGGAGACCAAATGCTATGTAATTATCCCTGTCCCCTATGTGCATGTAAATTCTGATGTCACCAACGAGATGTGCGTGTGTGTGAGGTTATTTAGATGTTTTTGTGTTGCCTTTGCAGCCTTCTCCATCTCCAGTGAGAACAGCCAGGTGGTGCTGATTGCCATTTCAGCAGCAGTGGCCATCATTCTGCTCACAGTGGTGGTGTATGTCTTGATTGGGAGGTGAGTCTGGTGTGTGATTTGCACATTTTCTCCTGTTGCCACGTCCCAGGGGGGCCCTGGTGACAGTGGCACATGGGGTGTCATGGTGTGGCTGCTTTTTAATCCTTTGTCTGCTGCCCAGGAGCTCCAAACCCTGCTCACAGTCAGTAATGAGCCTGCTCACATTAGCAGCCAAAATCATGCAGCAGTTGTTAAAAAATGCTATAAACACATTCTCAGGCAATTGTAAAATTAAACTGTAGGGGTCAAAAATCAACAAATCCTCTCATTAGCCAATTTCCTCAAATTCCCTGAGAACATCACATGCCTCTGTAGGGCACAGAGAATGTAAATATCATTAAACTTTCAAACAGGCATTTAATTGTGCAAGGAAAACTTTCTATTCTGTTTCCACCTGCAGTTAACACATAAAATGCTCTGTATTAATTTTTTTTTTTCTTTTTGCTTGTAGATTCTGTGGATACAAAAAGTCTAAACATGGCACAGATGAGAAAAGGCTGCATTTTGGGAATGGCCATTGTAAGTTACTGAAGCCTTTTAATGCTTCCAGATCTGTTGAATTCCTCCCCTAGGTAACTGATATTTTTCAATTAAAAAAAAAAAAGAGCCATACCTCACTTAAACCAAGGTGAAATTAGGAAGAGAATTATCCCTTCTCTTATGGGTAAGGAGATTTTCCCCAAACAATTATTCTTTGTTTCGACTTCTTTCATCTGTGTTCAGGTTAGTAATGAGCCAAACATCCCTGTCTATGTTCAAACAATGCCTGTGGTTGAAATTGTGATATTGATCCTGCTGTGCAGCACTGAAATCCAGAGAACAACTGCAGCTTCCTTGTTATATAAAGTCTAAGAAATACATTTTCCTTCACCAAAGCAAAATATAAATAAATTAAACCCATCTTGATGAACACTAAAGCTGCTGTGAAAATTGCTTGCTTGACAAAGTTCACCTACAAATAATAGTAATAATCTGATTCTGGATCCTTTTTGCAGTGTACTTAGTTTTGTTACACTTTTCCACAGCAGAACTGTGGATCCTGAAGGCTGGCTCACAGGCAAAGCTCCATCTATACACCCTTTAAAACAGGAAAAAAATTAGTTTTGGAGCAGGAGAAGCTGAGGGGAAAAGAAGGTGATAGCCTAATTCCTGATCAGGAATGCGAGGATTACTTGGTTGGTTTTTCATTTAATCACTGCACTTTGGATGTTTATATCCTTACAGGCAAAGATAATGCCCCTCATAGACACCAAGACAAGAAAATACTTTTTTTCAGCCACATAATTCTTGATTTCTAGTGTGGCTTTTTTTAATAAGAAGCAGTAGTTCCTCTTTGAAAATGTTTCAGCTCCAAATGAGTGTCTTGCTACCCCATATAAACCATGGTTGAATCATGTATTTCTGTTGTTTGGCATGTTGTAACATTAATATCTGTGGGTTTTTTTTGCACACAACATTGGCACTCTACTATTTGCAAGAAAAGAGCTGCTGGTACCATAATCAGGTGGCCCCTCCCCAAATATAAGTGAATTAACATTTTAATGAGGGGTTTACCTGCCGTAGCTGGAAATTAGAGCTGCTTCCCAACCCTTGAGACAATGGAATAACTGTTCTCTGACTGTTCAAATCATTATTCTTTCAAGTTTCCTGCCTCTCCTTATCTCCAGAGAGCCAAGAGTATGAATATCCATGATTTCTGTCTCCCTGTCACAGACTGCAGCCCAACAACTGCTAACCAACTATTCTCAAAAAAATCTCTAAGGTTACATGTGGCCCATAGAATTAATGCTTCATCATCCAAATTTAATGAGGTTATAAAATAAAAGCAGCCAGTAAAATAAGTGTCACAGACAAATAACAGGTCAGAATTTGCTCTCCTTACTCCCACACAATGGAAAGTTGCAATCACTATTCTTAAACATGGCAGTGCTGTTAAATTCCTGTGGATTAAATTGCTTTTAATTTGGCTTTAGATATTTATGTACTGTTTTCTGAGAAGTGTCATGCTGATTCACTATGCAGTAAGACCAGAGCCAATCATGGGCCTGGTATGTCTGTTAGAAGTTCTTGAAAATTACTTATTATAGATTTTGCAGACATTTATCTGTTAGAATTTGTAAGTATGTATGTGTGTGGCTGTTGAAACTTTTAATCTTACCAAGTTACTCATTCACAATTAGTAAGAAAATTGCTCCTATGAACTAAAAAAGGACAAAGTAACTTCCATGGCTGTCGTAAACTTTCAGCATCTTATGCACAGCAGCTGGTTTATTTCAGTCAGTTTACTCTGAATTACTTTTAAAAAGGCTCCAGCCATGAGCTATTCCCTGCAGCCTTATTACAAATCCTATAATATTACTTCAAAGGAACAAAAATGTTTCACCTCCTCAGATCCTCTCCCTTTGCCTCCTCTGGCTGGGCCTTTTTATTTTTTTGCTACCTTTAGGGCAATTTGTGCTGTTAAAATGAAAATGTAAATTATTATGTTTGCACAGAATGAGCTGTAAAGTAGTGCAGCTTAACACATGTGCATGTGTTTATTATCTGTATTTCATGACAGAACCCAGTTACTGCACAGGCTGCCCTTAATTATTGGTGTGAAGGGATTATTCTCCTTGCAGCCACCATCACCTGATCTTGGGAACCTCTGGGGTCAGCATTAAAAATCCCAAGCCAAAAACCCCACAGTGCAGAAGCTTTTAATTGTTATTTTTATTGGGGATGTGAGGGGGCCTGTAATGTACATTCAGCATGGACGGGAAGGAGCATTTACAAGACTTTTAACCAACAGCAATATACAGCCAATTACTTTTTGTTTTACTTGCAGGTAATTCTGTAATCATCAGGCTCTTGAAGGAAACACAGTTGGCTTTTAGTGCTGTGCACACGCAGCCCTTGTGTTGGGAGCATGGCTCTTACTTTGCTTTGTTTTCAAGGCAATTAGCTTGGGAATTCAATTTTATCTTTTTTTTTGTTTGTTGCTGTGTTACCCAGTTATCATAACTGGTATGATTGTATTCTGAGACAAATCCCATAAAATTGATTTTTTCCCCCTTTTTTGCATACACTTTTTCATTGTTTGATAAAACAATTTTGTGCTCTCACCATCCAAAGGTTGTTTTCCCCCATCTTTGCAACCCCAGCAAAAAAAGGTTTAACTGTTTTAGCAGTGAAAAAAATTGCTGCAGTATTATAATGCTAAGCTTGAAAGGATATTACTGAGTGGGCTAGGGCAGTGTTTGTTGAAGGAGTTAATATCTTTTACAAGACCTATTGGTGCAGTTAGGGAAAGCTGGAATACATGTCTGGGAATGTAGGGTTTGTGGCAGAAGCAGAAAACTTCAAGCTGGGTATTTCACTTTTTGTTAATAAAACATATTCCTGTTGTAAAATGGGTACAACAGAGGCAGGCACAGAAGGGACTGGGTGCAAACACAAGCAAGGCTTTGAGCTGGGCAGAAGGAATGAGGCTGTGCTTTGCTTTCAGTGTTTTTGTTGGAGGCAAAGGTTGGGAATGATCTCGTTCAGCAATCCCCAGCCAAGAAACTCTAGAGGTGGCCAAAATAATAACAGGGATGTATGGAGAGCAAAACTCTAGAACCAGCCTTTACTCAGAACAATTATCTGCCATCCTTGAATGTTCTGGCAGAGACATTGAGGCAGGGGTGCATTTTTTTAATGTATAAGTTTCTTATTATGCATCTTGTTTTAAAGACTTAGGAAAAAGAAGAGCTGGAGTTAATCTGATTTCTTAATATATTCCTAAGAACTTTTCAGGTTGACTGTAGCAACACATTTTGTTCCTTGCCCCTTTTTTGTTAACATTTTCTCTCTGGATTTGTTTTTACACAGTAAAGCTCCCGGGTCTGAGAACTTACGTAGATCCACACACGTATGAGGATCCCAACCAAGCTGTGCATGAATTTGCCAAGGAACTGGATGCTTCCAATATATCCATTGATAAAGTAGTTGGAGCAGGTAATGATCACCAGATATATTGAACTCAGATAGATTTTTGCTGTGTATATACTGTCTTATGTGTTTAGGTTCATAGTTGTGACTGGAAAGAAAATGTTCTAGAAAGTCTTCAAATTAGCAGGTCACATTTACAGCTGATTTCAGTGCAAAATTAAGGGCACACAATTTTCTATATTTTTTTTTTCTCAAAGAAAGGAGACAGCTTCTCCAAGGACACCAAGCCCATATTTGAGTGCACCGCCGTTGGAAGGGAAAAGATCATTCTGCCTCATTTCTATGTTTCTCTTTAAAATCTATCAGCACGGCATAGAAAATGTTATCTACTCTGAAGATGTTTTCTTTTTTTTCCCTCTTTCCCCATGAAAGAACTCTTGACTATTATGCCTTGAGTGAAACCACAAACTCATTTCATACCAGTCACCACGCATCCATCAGGCTGCAGTGACCTTTGGTCGTTGGATTGATTTTGGTCACTGCTTTGGATTTGAATTATGGATTTAGGAGAAAAGAGTTGTCTGTCCAATAACTGGTTGTCTGAGCCATAAAGATGCCACAGGTTGTTGGATTTACAGGAAACAAGCTGGAGAAATGATCAGATCAGTAACAGAGGAGCCAGATTACAGAAATTCTCATTACACTGAGTGTTGCAATGGAGCATGTAGCTCCTGATGGAATGTGTGCTTGCTCCTTGAAGTGAAGTGGCAGATTGTCTCATTGAGCCAGAAGATCATGGAGTGTTGCCTTTCCTCCTATATTAAAGCATTTATGAGGAGTACTATTGATTTTTAATCCATTGAAAAATACTTGTTCCTTTATTATTGATTTTTTTGGCTTCTCTCTAAGAATATGGTTTGAATTAAAACCGTGAGATGTGAGAGACAGACTCTGAGTGCACAGCAAAATATTTTCAGCTGGAAAATTGTAAAACCCAAGGTACTGTACTCAGTGCATCTCCTGAATCACCCAGAAAAAAAAAAAAAAAGGAAAAAAAAAAAAGAACAGTTTTCATCCTATCTAACTGAAGCTACTCAACTGTTGTTAGTTTGAAGTTATTTTATGGAAAGGTGGAATCCGTGTTCCTTGCTGGTTTTAATTTTGCCCCACAAGAGTGCACTGTTCTCCATCATCTTCAGTCAAGGCAGCAAAGCTCTGCTTACTGCACATAGCAGGGAATTTGTGAGGGAATGGAGAAGGAGGAATACTCTAAATTTAAGTCCAGGAGCAGTGTGTTTCCTTGTAAGACTTTCAGGAGCCTCACCAGTGAAAACTTTCTAAATTTGGGCTGTGTGCAGTATATGAATCTAGAAAAGGAGTTCCTAGGATCATGCCATGTTTGACAGCTTGGTTGTTCTGACCTGTTTTTAGTTAAGATGCACAGCAGAATAAGAAGTAACCCAAAATTTGTCAAATATGGCCTCTGGAAGCAAAGGAAAAAATTTTGAGAGGCTCCAAAAAAGGACTATGTCCTAAAGGAGTCAGGTGTTTTAAAAGTCTCCCTGCTCCACTGCAGTGAGAATCACAGGTTTTTCTGGGTTGGAAGGGACCCCCAACGATTGTGGAGTCCAATTCTTAAGTGAATGGCCCCCAGAGGGATTGAACCTGGACCTTGGCATTACCAGCACCCTGCTCAAACCAACTGAGCCAAGTGGCAAAGCTTTTGATATTAAAACTTGCCCTCAAGCTGTAATAACACCTTTTTTTGGGCACTATAACTCAATCCATGTAGCCTGGAGTACATAGGGCATTGTAGTTAAATTTCCTCCTAGCAGTTGCTTGGGATGCCAAAGGAGGAGCCAGAAAGGGAAGGACAGATGAAAATCAGGCCACAGAGAGCTGGCAGCTCCCAAAATGAGTTTGTGGCATCACTTTACACTGCTATCACCCTCAGCACGTGGAAGCTTTCACATTCAGAGTGCTCTGAGGCAACTTCTTCAGGAACACTTCTCCCCAAAACCAGAAAGGCATTTCCTGCCTCTCACTGAGTCAGTGACTTGTTTGAGTGAATAACTTGGTCTCTTCCTGCCCTTGTCCTTTGCAAGGCAAGTGTGAATGAAATTGTAAGAAAAAAAGACAGGGATTTGAGAAGAAGGGATTCATTTAACTGCCCTGGAGTGTGACGTAAGTAATGAGACCTTCAAGTCAGGCAAGCAGCCTCGATATTCTGAAGTGCTCCAAGCAGTTTTTCACAGCTTCACTGAGAAGAGAGGGCTTTCAGAGCTTACATAGCTTTGAAAACATACACAAATGCAATAAGGAAATATTCTTATCCAAAAGAACCTCAAGAAAAACACAAGGGATTTTAGTGGGAGGCTAAGCATAAGAAAATTGAGGTCAGAAGCCACTTTTTCAGACTTTTCTTTACAGTAATTTTTTTCTTTTAAAATAACTCACTTATTTTTATGGATTCAGTTCAACAAACCACTTCATAAGCTTAAATCCAACTGGGCAGTAGGAGGATACTAAAGAAAGTACTTTCTTGGTCTGGGGTGGATTTAACTGTGTGCTTTGCTGACAAGTAAGCAAGTATTTGCTTTTCTTCCAAAGAAGAAATATAACTGTAGCACAACATCTTGTTAATCAAATTTTTCATAAAATTCAGGAGCTGTTTATGAACTTACTGTGAAGGTTTGCAGTGTCCCAGTGAATGTGGCTGATGTTCCCAAGGTTAAAGAAATGTTGAACTTTGGTGCCTCTTCAAATCAGAGGGAGTTGTCTGCACAGATTAAAATGCAGCAAAGTCAAGGGAGTAGCTGATTTCACAGAATCTTCATTTACTGTTCCCCTGAGTCTAAATGCACAGCAAACACCATCCCCTGATGTACAAAATAGCCTCTTTAAAAAGAAATTAGGATATCCTGAGGAGAGATCTTTGTCCAAATCTGAGGGAGTTCTCTGCACAGATTTAAAATGCAGCAAAGTCAAGGGAGTAGCTGATTTCACAGAATCTTCATTTACTGTTCCCCTGAGTCTAAATGCACAGCAAACACCATCCCCTGATGTACAAAATAGCCTCTTTAAAAAGAAATTAGGATATCCTGAGGAGAGATCTTTGTGCCATGAACAGCCCACTAAATAATCCCTATCAGCTTCCCACATGTGAATAGACACACCAGTCAGCAGGGCAGGTTATTCAGTCTTTATGTGTGTGGTGCAATTAAAAATAAACACCTCAGGAAGGCTTTGCATGAAAAGCTATCATCCTCATATCTTACAGTGCCAGGTTTTCTACTCAAACACAAGCCCTTGTTTCTCCTAAACAGTGTCTGGTGAGACCCAGTTAATTTCTTACTGGGATCATGTAATAATAATTTGCAGGAAAAATTGTGGTGTAACTGCATGGGTCACTCTGGGTGTTGACCAGATAGATGTATTTAGCATCCATGTTGCCCTGGATATAAAAAAATCATAGGTTAATGTAGTTGGGCTGCCTGGGGAGCTCTTTCCAATGAAATCATTTTCCAAGAAAGCGAACCTGCTTTATATCCATAGACAACAGCAAACTTTTTTATGTGTGTGGTGCTTTATATCCATAGACAACAGCAAACTTCATTGCTAGAAAGAGCCCATCTTTTATTCTCTTGCAGCATCTGCTGGCCTTGAGATACTTTTGGAATCTGATTAATCACTCAAGCTCTGGATCGTTCAGCCATGGCTAAATGGGACTGTGTTGATGGACATTACCCATAACCTTTTCCTTCCCAGAAGTTAAACAAATATCAGATACACGATTCCAGCTTTAAAATGAAGGATTGATTGCTGGGCTGCTGGCTGAAATCATAGCTAAAGTCTCCATTGACAGTAACTGTAAAATAGTTCTAAGAGCTTGGCTTGTTATAGCTTTTTGGACCATTAAAACATCAAGAAAATGGAGTTGGAAGCTGGGTGCTACAAGATTTACTTCAAGCAGTTTTTTTTCCCCTTCCCTCTGTTTTCAAGATGTGCTTTGGTCTTCCTATTTTGTGGTGCTCTGACAGTATTGAGCTGGGGTTGGTGTTTGAACTCCTGGTAAAGTATAATGGTCATCTGGGCTTGCAGAAGCTGGATGCTTTTACTTAGGTCTGAAAAGAACTCAACTCCCTTTCGTTACTAGTAAAAGCTTTTAAAATTTGTTTTCTGAGCTGCTGCCTGTCTTGGCAGCCTGAAATACAAACAGTGTTAGAATCAAAGGATGTAATGTCAGTGCTTTTTAGCAATATGTATGTACATGAAGATATATCTGCCTTTGAGTGGTTTTTACCTTGATAGTACAGCCTAGAGGATGAAGCAGCTGGTGGTAAGATATGGTAACATTAATTTCTATGTTGTTGACTCAAATCAAGCCTGGGTTAGCAACAGAGAAAGATCATTGCCCTAGCACACATTTATTCAGGCCTTTCTTGATTAACTTGGCTGTCTAAAAAAAATAAATATTCAGAAAAGAAAAGCTGAAAATGAGCATTTAAATCAGTTGCTGCTCAAATAGTAATATATTGAAACTTCTTTATGTGATTTCTGTAAAAATTATTCAACTGAAAAAGATTTTCAGCTGAGGTGTCTTCTTCCAACAGTTTTCTATACATTTAATACTCCCTCTTTTGAAGGGAAAGATGATTTTCCTTGTGCTCTGGTCTTGCATGTTGCAAAAGGATAAACCAATATACAACATATTCCAGGGGCTTTTTTGAGTCCTGATTCTTCTTCCTTGAATCCCTACAGAATAACCACATTTCAGCTTTTGTCACTTTTTACTTTTTTCATCACTTTTTGTCACTCTCTCTTTTTAGGAGAATTTGGAGAAGTGTGCAGTGGACGCCTGAAGCTGCCTTCTAAAAAGGAAATTTCAGTGGCCATCAAAACCCTGAAAGTTGGCTACACAGAAAAGCAGAGGAGGGACTTCCTGGGAGAAGCCAGCATCATGGGCCAGTTTGACCACCCCAACATCATCCGGCTGGAGGGAGTCGTCACTAAAAGTGAGAAATCCCAGCCTAAATAATTCCCTGATTTTCTGATCAGTCAAAGGAGAGCAGAAGTGAATTATAAATGAAGTCATCCAGGTTTATGCTCTCCAAAAAGCTCAATAATAAATTGGCAGGTTTAATAAACTCCAGAGTTAGGAATTGCTCCAGAAGGGCCAGGAGGCACTGGGTGATGATCTGGTAAGGAGTCGTGGGGACTGATGAGCTGAGGCTTCTTTATTGCACTGAACTTCACTGTCTTCTGCTTTCACCTCAGTCATTAGATTTGTCATTAGCACTAATTAATGAACAGCCAACCTGGTACAACAACCAGTCCTAGTGAATAATTAAATAAGGCCAAACTTTTTTCCTAGATGGTTTTTGTGCAGGGGAGGTACCCCATGAGATAGTCAATATGTACCAGCATACATGGGGAATGTTAAAGCTCCAGAATTCAAACATCTTGGTAAAAATCTCAAAAAGAAATCTTGAGGATTTAATTAGTCAATAGTAAAATTAATTTTATCTCTGTCCTTATATATATTTACTTAAATGCCTTTTCTAAATCTGAATTTGGGTGCTCTTGTTATAGGTTTGGTTGGGGTTTGGGTTTTTTGGTTTGTTTTTTGTTTGTTTGTTTTTGTTAAAGCATGTTCTTGGTTGTTGTTTATGATAACAAATCACCTTCTCTTTTTGAGACCAAAAAAAATTTAACTGAAACCTTCTTGTACATGTGGTACCTTCTTGGAAAAATAATATATTTCAACAACCCCCTTCAGCCACACTTTCTATATTTCCACTGCATAACAAAGTGATACATTTAGCAATCAAATGTATCTACCCACATTAGTTATTAAGTCGGAGATCAATAATCAATAAGATTTTTTATGAAGCAATCTTAAAAAAAAAAAAAAAACAAAAAGGGAGTGCTCCAAGGTTTTTAAGGGGGGCAGAAAAAATTGGTGTGATATTTTCTTGTTCATCCCAGAGGATCCTGCTGGCAAAGCAGCTCTTTGCCATTTCAGTGATCAGCTTGGAATTTGCTGAGGATGTTTCTAGTTTAACTGGATGGGAACATACCAAATACTTCGGGTTTAAGTAGATGATTTTATTAGTTTTAAGAAAATTTTGGTTTTTGGTTGTGTGGTTCAAAGTTTCACAAGGATAAGCATGAAAAAATTTCATAACATACTGCTGAAATGTATAAGAAATTAAAACCCCACCAGAATATGTCTAAAAGTCACTAGTGAAAGGTATGTAAAACACTACATGCTATGAAGAGCCATAATTATAATAATAATGCCTTCTCTATGTGTGTTTCATTAAATTCTATTTTGCTGATTTCAATAACAAAGAAATTATTGTTTATCTTAGGTCTCACAGTCCTATTAGGAAAGGTCTGCCTGCATAAATTGAGGTTTATCTCCTGCTTTGTAGTGACACACACTTTATACAGTCAGAATAAGATTTGCAGTCACAAAATCACCTTAAACACCAGCATCAGTCTGCACACAGCTGAGCTAAAATCTCTGTTGTTACATTTTGTATTCCTGGAGCACTTGAGACAATAATTTAATTGCTGTACAGGCAGGAATTTGTGCGTTGCTCTTGAATGTTTATTGCTAAATCTCTCTGTACTCTGTGTAAGTGGCTTTTAGTGAGTTTGCCACTCAGGTGCATTCACAGCACTACTGTCTGCTTTGGGGGGCTGGGGGAGGAGGTCAGGAGTGCCAGCTGCCCATCACATCTATGTGTGAGAGAGCAAACTGAATATTCCCAGCCGAAGCCAATAAAACCTCAGGGGTACAACACCCTCTGCAGATAGCTCCAGAAAGGGAGCTGAGAAATCTGCTCTGGAGCTACTTTTTACTAGGCAAAAGTATATGGCACAAACTAAACAAAATAATAAATATAATTATTTGTTTTATTGGACATTCTGCAGAGTGATAGAAGGACAAAAAGCTTGGGAGTTTGGAGGCTTTTTTGTTTGGGTTTTTTTTTTAACAAATCAATCACCACATCAGGCTTCCAGCCTTGCCTGCAGCACAGAATTGTTCCTCTGCTCCTCGTGGATTTCTGCATTTCCCAGCTGCTGCCCTGCACTCCTGGGCACACTATAGGCAGCAGTCTTAATAACCAGCACACGTGTTCTGCTGAGTTTACTAATAATTTACAGCAATTTGTAGCCTGCTATTCTAATAAACCTGGGCACTGCTGTTGACACAACTTGTTATCATTTATAAACGGCCAAGCTTTGATAAATGGATGCAGAGGGTTCTTTTAAAACTTCAGAGCATGTGCTTCTTATTATGGGCACATTTCCAACTGAATGAGGGTGAAACCCTGCACTTAAGGCTTTTGGAGTGTGGGTGAGCAAGGCAGGAAGATGCTCCCGTAATAATTTAGAAGATATATTTCTTACTCTAATTTAAGTTCTTCTGATAAAATCTCGTAAAATTGCCTGAGTTTGTACAGAAACCAGGCACCTGTCTCCTGGCTTCAAAGTGCAGGGCAAAGTAAATCAATTTATCATGGAAAATTTTGGATAGCCCTGCACTTGAAAGGTCCAGCAGCATATTCTGGGTGTTACCAGAAATCCCTTTGAATTCATGTTACACACAGAATGCAAGTGCTTTTTCTTCAACTATATTTCTGGCTAGCAAGACTAAGTATCAATAGATTTTTTGTTTGAGCTTTTACATTGTTAAATCTTGTATCTGTATCATCTATCATTCAAGATTAATATTTTGCATACAGTATTTCCTCCTGGTGAATGGATGACAGTCAATTAATTAGTCATTAGTGTGACTCCCACAGTATAACACATCATTTATACCACAGAAAGAAGATATCTGAGCCCATTAATTCATAATGTTCTTCTTGTGTTAAACTCATTCTTTGAAATTACTATTTCCCTTCTAAGATTTCTATTTGGTAGAAGCTGTATTTTTTGAAAAGCAAACAGAAAAAAAGTTGTTACCATTGACTTGGCTTTTTTAATGGCTTTCTTGTTCTTAATTAAGCTGGGTGCCTTTTTCAAGCCTCATGCTGTTCAATTTTAAAAGCTAAAATTTCACCATGCCCACCATACAATATGCAGGCTGTAGTCCTACTTTTATGGTCAGATGCCTTCCTGTATTTTATGTGCAATAATAATTCATCTCCTTAAATAACTTCATGGTCTTACCCACCTTTCTCTCTACCACAAAGAGAAAATAAGCAAAGCATTAGTAAATATTATGAAACAATAAAATACATATAATGGTAAAATATTAGCAAAGCAATGACCTTGGTCTGAAAACTTCCCTGTCATCACATGAATTTTTGCATTACTTTCTCTCCAGCTTGTCAGAGCTGCATAAAAAATCTTGATTGTGTCACAAAATGCCCTAGGGTGGAAGGAATGGTTTCGAAAACTGGTCTGAATATATCGGGATGAGTTTTCGGGGAAGAAAAAGGCTTTTCAGGGGCTGTTTCTTTAGAGTTTGCCAGTGCCCCGTGGCTGCAGCATGTTCAGGTCCCAGCTGTGTCCAAATTTGTGCTGTCAGGGATCCCAGCACAGAGGGAAGGAGTGCCTGAAAGGAGGGAATGCCCATCTTATACAGATCTTCTTCTCTTTCCTGTGTTTTATTGTGCACTTTCCATCTTTATCTGCACCCAGCCTCAGTTTGCCCACACATCTTTTGCTTCCTTTCTAAATGTAAAGGCATAGTGTAAAAATTATCCTTGGGTTAGGAAGATTTGGACACATTCCTGAAATGCTTGGGTTTGCTGATGGTATTCCAATGTTTTCCTTTGAAAACCCTGACCCCTGTGCTCTGTTTTCAGGTAAACCAGTTATGATTGTTACTGAATATATGGAAAATGGTTCCCTGGACAGCTTCCTACGAGTAAGTGCAACAGGAAACTAAATGGGGCAGAAGTGGCTCGTGTTCTGGACTTGTTAGGGGTTTGCTGCCACTCTGCACTGATTCATCAGCAGCTCTTGTTTGATATTTCTTTATTTTCATTTGGGTTTGCGAGTATCATGATGGGCTCAGAAAGCCACTTAGGGATCTGCTGGTCCATTTACAATAAGCATTATTCCAAAATTAAGGCAGTTTTGGTTGCATTAGTGTGTCATATCTATTAAAAATGAACAAAACAAAGCAACATTCTGGCACACAAAAAATGGGAACTGTTTTTCTGGAGGTTGAATTATGACTGTAATGCAGTTATGCTTATTGGTTGGCAGTCTCTATATCTAAGCAAGAGATTTTCTAAATGAATGAATTTATGGAAATTTTATCAGTAATGAAAAGTTGAGAGAATAGCCCCATACCTGGGGATGTTAGAAATGTTTAGCCAGCAAAGTTTACTGGCCTGTTTTCTTTTTCCAACCTTAGACACACTAATGCTGTGGCTGATTTATCTTTGTTTTCTGTCAAAGTTGGTAGTGAGCCTAAAAAAATTCAAATGCTCCCTGTGTCACCAAGATTTACTTATGGCAAAACAAGGAGTGTAGGAGAAATGAAATCCCATCTGAGGGGAAACACTGGTTTAATTTTAATTTGTTAGAGCAAACTCAGCTTTGGCTGGGAGACTGCTTTGGTTCTGCCACGGTTGAATGACATTATCCCCCAAATTCATAACATTGAACTAGACATTTAACCCCAAAAGGGGATAGATTGTCAACCTTAGTTTCTCTATGTACTATATATGTTATGGTGTCCACTGGAGCATGTAAAATACATATAAATAATGTGTCAGTATAGCTGAATGAAATATCTCTGTACTGAACTATATATATTTTGTTTAGACTTGAAATCCTTGAAGAGAGCCCTGAGGAAGGGAGAATAATTTCTGACTGCACAGAACAGTTGTTCAGCTTGTTCTTTCATTTTACTGTGATTTTTTTTTACTACTGTTATGTAGAAACATAGATAAGAACCTTGTGACTCATTAATATCACAGGCAACTCAGGCCCTATAACCTTTTTATAAATGCCTTTTGGAACTACTTAGTTTGCTTTCCTCATTGCCATTGAAAGGCTCTCTGAGCATCTGATTCTGTTCATGGTTAGAAACCTTCTGTTTTCAGCTAAATCTTTTCCAGAGTCTATATAAAATTCTCTTGTGTTGGCTCTGATAAAAAAGGTACAGACAACTGATAAGAATCTTTTAAAATATTAATTTCTTCATGAAGGGGAATTCTGAGAGACTCTTTAAGCATCCACTGTGTCATATATTTGTCTAATGTTTCCACTGCTAATATCACCTCCAAGTACACTAACCAAAAATGAAAAATGGATGCAATCAGTCTGGCAGACTGATTCATGTCAGATCACCTCACGTGACAGAGCCAGCTCCCTTGTATTTAATAAAATTCCAGAAGCAGCAGCACGAGGAGTTGGAGAGCTGCCCATGAGGTTACATTTACAGCACTGGGGAATTCATCTGAGAGCTGCACAGCAACAAATGCTGTCCTATTGTCTATATATCAATATCAAAAGTAGATGTTAGCAAACAGGATTAGTAAGAGTTGAGAGATGTAAATTATGCCCAGAAGTAGATGATTAGAAATATATCCAACAAATGGTTTCTAGGCTAAGTGTTTCAGTCATTTTTGTGTTCCTGAAGTTGAGGAAAATTTTAAGAAATGAGTTTAAAACTAACAGAATTTGAAAGCTGCTGACTCAGATCAGCATTTTCTTCTGTTAAATGAATTTCTTGTGTAATAGAAAACTTTCATTAGGCCGTTGGGGAAGGCTTGGATTTTCACTAGAAAATCCTGTAGCCTTTCAGGGAAGTTGGACATCTGTTTCTGTAATGTTCTGACACTCCAGTCTCAGGAGCACACACAACCTAGATTTATGTGCTGCTTTCACACGTGCCCCATCTAGGAAATTAAAACTCTGATGACAGCAAGAAGGGGGAAAATGAATTTTTATCTGAATTGCAAATCTTCCCTCAGCTGATTGGGAGACCAACATGTGGCATTTAAATCACAACGCCTGACTCACGAGCTCTTCATTTGAGGAGCTTCCAGGCTATTTATGAAAAAATCCGTGCAAGAAGGCACATGAGCAATCCCTGAGATGATCTTTCCAATGTTTTCCAGAAGCACGATGCCCAATTCACAGTGATCCAGCTGGTGGGCATGCTTAGAGGGATTGCATCTGGCATGAAGTACCTGTCGGATATGGGTTACGTCCATCGGGACTTGGCAGCTCGTAACATCCTCATCAACAGCAACCTGGTCTGCAAAGTCTCAGATTTTGGTCTCTCTCGTGTACTGGAGGATGACCCAGAAGCTGCTTACACCACAAGGGTGAGTTCCTGCGTTCCTTTACCTTTTTTAAATTCTTGTTGGTCGTGGCAAAGGCTGAAATCTGATGGAAATCTGAAATCTGAGGCTGTGTTTCAGAGGGCAGTCACTCCTGCCCAGAGATGTTCAATTACCCAGGAGCTCATCACAGTTATTTTTAAATTCATGTCTTGAAGAAAATAGAAAATGTCCATACAAAAAGCATGGTTTGTGTTGGTAGATTACTTTCCTTAGACTATGCAAAATTCTTGGCTCCGTTTCTTTCTCCTGGATGTGTAAGGGAGTGAATATTACAATTAAAGCCTGAGTTCTTTTGGCACACAATAATTTAAGCCTTCATGTGTGCTTTGAGAAGTTTTAGTTACACTGCTGATTTAGCTCTCACACAGTGAAAAAAAAATCCTACCTATTGAATTTCATTGTGTTTTCTAGCATGATATGTCTGACTGGAGCATACTGCAATCACTGTTCTTCAGGGGTGTGTCATTATACCTGCTCTTGTACCTCTAACTGAGTAAAACAAAGAAAAAAAAAATGCACATCTGATTATGACCCTGAATTACACTTCCATTTTTTTTGTGGAAGCCTTTAGCTTTATGTCTATATGTGTATTACAGTTGAATATCTGGTTGCTCATTTTAATGCTATTTAAAGTGGATTTTGTTAGCTTTGCAATAAGTGACATTGACATCCAGTATCTTAGCCAAGTGTAATTTGCATTGCTCACAGTAATCACCTCATCTTCACTGTACAAACCAGATTACAATGTATCAGCACAACCTTAATGTGTGTTTTCTATGGTTTCCTTCATTCCTGAACACTGACAGGAGCAATCAATAATTTTAGTAGCTTACATGCTGCCTTCTTCATGATTGAAATAAAATAACATGTGAGAAATGAGTAAAGAAATGACAGATTTCTTACACATTATATACACATACATTAATAGATACATTTATCATACCTTCATAACGTACCAGGCATAAAGACTCTATTCTTTACTTGACCTTTCAGTGTTTTCTTTGCCCTCTTGATAAACTTTGTCATGGAGTTAGAAATATGCAATATATACCACTTTGGAAAACTGTCTGCAGAGATCTGGCATGGTTAGTATAAAGGGACATTAGTAGGAGAAAGCAGTGTTCTTTCTCAATAATCTTAAAGCATTAATAAATTATTAGTAGTAGTAGTATTAGTATTAAATAGGTGTATTGTTGTTTCAGATATTTGTTTGTTTTCTTAAAATCAAGCTGAAAATGAAGCATTGGATGAAGCTGTCACATCAGTGACATGTCTGTGATGGCTTGGACAAGGCAGGGTGCACAGGGTGTCAGTGTTTTCAGCCAGTGTTCCGTGTGAATTTCCTCTTCCTCTCCTCCTGCCACCCATTTTCTGAGTCTACCTGCCTATTTGCAATTAGATAGTGAAATCAGATGGAAAGAAACTATTTTGTGAAGTGTAATCATCTGTGTTCAGTAAACTCCATCTGGCGTTTGTGGTGTGTGTGCAAACTGCTGCAGGAAGATGCTCAGATAATTAAAACCTTCAAATACAACTTAGGACAAATCTGATTTTTTTTTCAAGAGCTGTTGCTGTGAATATACCTGTGCCACATGTTGGCTCTGAGAAACGAACAAGGCTATTTGATATTCATCTTTTTTGCTCACATTTCCCTTTGAAGTGAGTCTAATGTTGATGTCAGGGGAGTGTTTCCAGGTGGGATGTTTGATCCCCAGCTGAAAAAAATGGGGACCACAGATGTGAAACAGAGCTTCACTCCACTGGCAGAGAGATGAACAGTGCATGTTCCTGCTGCTTGGATATTTCACAAAACACACGACCATTTCCTAGGCTTAGCACATTTTGAAACCACTAATTATAGGACAAAAATAGTGCCACATTTTAAAAATAATGGCATCATCTCAAACTATTTCATGCCTAATAATGGCATTGTCCCAAACTATTTAATGTCTTTAAAACTAAAGGATGACAACAAGATATTTTAAAAAGCAACAAAAAAATCTAAATTACAATTCAAATTTCAAAAATTACAAAGTGTGTATTATATTGATGTCCTCCTGTTCTCCAGCTCTTCCTACTCCCAGCTGACCATTCAGTATCAGTGGTGCTAGGAAATTTATAGAGTTAGCTGCAAAGATAGATGCTTTATCTATTTAGGCTCCTTATCTGCCCCTATTTTCCACCTGTAAATGTCAGAGCCTGAGAATGATTCCACTGCTGTAATTCATAATTGCAAGTCAGGATTGATCTACCCCCAAGAAGCCCAGCCAGGCTTTCAATAGTCACCACTGCCTGGGTGACATTTTGTGTTGTGCTGTTCTCAGAAGCCATGTATGAAGCTTTGCATAAAGGCTGTGAACATGTATCCTTTTATACATCAATAATTTATGTATTCCTTTATATATCAATGCATAATCTGAGATACTCATGCTATTGTACCAGAAGGCTGAAGGACAATGCAAAGATCACAAGTGCACGTGTGAATTACAGGGAATCAGGAGTTGTAAGGAACTTTCCTACCTGACAGGGTCATTTTTTTTACCTCCTGAATTATTGTCACTGCCTTGATACCACAAAAGGCCTTTGGCAGCCTGGGGTCTGCCTGCTTACAGAAGCAGAAGCCAGCATGTGAATCAGGCTGACTGACTGTTTGGATTTTTTTTATTTTTTCACAGAGTCTTTGTGCCTGAGGGGATGTGCTGTAATTATCCACATTCTCCATATCTATTCACTTTTAATTGAAACACCAAGATTGTATTAAAATTGTCATTTTCAGATGGATCCGGTTTATCCTTATTATTTTTCAGATATCTGTATGACAAGTGGGTGGACTAATGACACAGTATGAACTGGAAGTGAATTTAAGCAATCACAGTTGTAGAGGGACTGTAATTATGTCTCTCAAAGACAATATTTGGGTAATCAGTAGATGAACTTTGACTATTTAAGCACACAGATACATCACCAGTGTTCCTGGCATTTTAATGTAAATGTAGCCCGTGCTGGACAGAAATCAGTTGTATTTTCACTGTATGTGCAAAATCACAGTGATACAGTCAGAATGTATTGAAGGGTGTGGTAAAAAAGGAACCAAAACCCCATAAATTCTCTTGCCCCAAAGCACAGAGGAGGGGAGCAGTGCTCTGTCATCACTGGCTACTCAAGAGGAGATGATCTCAATATAAAACTTGCATTAGTGAGGGCCTGACAAGCACCATCACATAATGTCAGGTGTGTAAAAAGGTAAAACTGGCTCATCTCACTCACATGACTCTCTTTTGTTCTGTACCATTAAGAGATCTCCTGAACTCTCCTAAGTCCTGGCATAATGAATGAATGTCAGGCTTTTACTTTCAGCTTTTTCTGCAAAGTCCTTCTAGTAATTCAGTTAGAATCCATTTTTCTTGATTCACTCCTCCCCAGGCCTGTGGCTTAGGTGCCTGTGGCTGTCACCCTGTAAGAGATTATAAATCAGAATATTGGAATGGGTTCTGAAGCCCTGGAAACAGCTGCCTTGTGCTGGAGTGCCAGACGTGCTCGAAATAAATTGAGGACTTCATTGACTTTAGATGAATTATGCTGGAGAGACAGATACTGCAGGAATAGCAGCTCCATCTACAGAAGATAAAACTTTTGGTTACTGCTGGCTCACTGATTTCCAACCCTGAGAGAGGTTCTCTGACCCAGAGTGCCTGGGATATTGAGCTGCAATAACAAACTCCTACAATTTCTAACACCAAAGCTGTCTTTCTACTAAAGTTTGGGGAGCTTGGCTTTATGATGAGCATGCCATTAAAGGGAGACCATAACAAAAATATATAAAAACTGTGTTTCTCTTAGAAAATAATCAGTAAATATATTGCTGTTCTTGTTCTTAAACTATGCCAAAAAAGAGTCAGCAAAATCCCTTTTTAAAAATAATTATGACATTTATATGACAAATTGGGGAGCAGAAGAGCAAAATTACACTTTTAGACTCTGTTCACTGGCAGTTGATTTCTTTTTTTAACTACATTTTAATTAATATTTTTGAGTTATTTATGGTAATGCTCTGTGGATCTGCAGGTTTTTATAGGATTGCAGCTGGAACTTAGCAAAGAAAATTTGAAAACCACTGACTCACACTCACTGCAATAAGGATCTGGGGTAGATGCACCTTCCTTTTTCAATAAAGCAAAGCCAAAAATTGTTTCATTGAGTTTCTAATCCTTCTGCAATTAAGCAGTTACAAAATGTGAGGAGACTAATTACTGCCTTTTTTTTTTAAGCATTTCTCCAATTTCATACATAACTTTTTACATAAGATTATAAAGGCTTTCTATCCAATATGAATTCCTGCCCTTGTCTGATGGGAGATGTCTGATTCTCTTTGTGGTGGTGAGGTCTTTGTTGATGTAAATTTAGGATGTGGCTTTCCCCCAGGATTCATGTTCTTTATTGAAAACCAAGGCTCACTTCTAGCATAGAAAACAGAGAGATTGATTTCTTTATCAGCCTCACATCTAAAACTGTAAGTGGATTTCTTGTGAAAACACAAGGCTACAGGAGAGCTTTCCTTGTTTCTTGGCTGGGCCTTGGACTCTTGGAGGGCCCCTGGACACTTGTAAAGGGAGCCTATTAATTGAGTACGAGAAAAACAAAGTCATTTTTATGTTCTTGGTACTGTTCTGGAGCAGCACTGGGAATTGTGAATAAAGTTATAAAGCGTGGAAAATACAATGTACTTTTTGTGACTAAAGAACATCATCCAATAGATTAAATTTCTAAGAGAGAGAGAGAGAGATCAGACTCTTCCTCTGGCCTCAGAGACAAAACAGTGTTCTCAAACACTCCACTTTGTTTTCTGTGTCCTCTTTGCTGGTCTGCAAGTGACGTGGAAATTCAGTGTTCACCTGATTTTAAGGGTTGTGTGTGAAAGGAAGGTTTGTCTTTTGGTAGGGAGCTCTGCTAAACAGAATGGGATCCATGAAAACCATATGCCAAGATAATTCCCTCCCTGACCTCTGCCAAGCCTCTAAGACCTATCCGGTGACATTTTGGAGGCCTGAATTGTAGTCTGAGTCAAGACTGCCTGTGTTGTTTATACTTAATTTAGTTTATGCAATATTAGCATGAAAATGAAGATACTTCAGTGTAGTTAGACTGTATTTAGGTTTATAATTAACACTAATGCCTGCATCTCTATTGTTAATCAAGCCAGTGAGTCTAAAGCTGGTGATTGTATAGCTACACTCAGTGTAGGTACAGTTTATGGGAGAATAGGCAAAGCAGTAAAATATTTAAATCTTTTTTCCTTCTGGTTCTTCAGTGGAAGTCAGAGCACTCTCTCCCCACAGAGGTGGTTGTGAGGAGAGGTGTGTGACTGGAGTATAATGGAGGTGTCAGAAGCACTGCAGAGAGCTGGTCTGGTGTGAAATCTTCAGAATATATTCTGCACACGTTGTGCATAACTGGAAATAACTTTAAACTCTCACAGTTTTCTGTACCAAAACACATTCACTCCAGAATTGCTTTCAGGAACAAGTTCTGCAGTGCTATCTTTTAGAACTTCATTTTCTCATGTGTGACACTCAAAAAACTCTGTCAAAGCTGACATCACCAGGAATTGTCTCTTTCCTCTAATTCTCACATTTTGGAAAATCAGCCTGAGGTTCCTTGTGTGCATTTTATTAACTTAACTACAGCACCAAGTGGTGGCCATGACCAGAGAGAGATGTTCCCCTACCTACCATGTTAATTGTACTGGTAGCTTCAATTCTCTTCAAGTTTGGCATTTAATGATGGCTTGCTTCTCATGTGACTGTAAAAAATGTCCAAAGTCCACTCTCCCAGCTGACAATTTTTCACTCTTCCCTCTGCACAGATGATCCCATCTGAATCTGACTTTCTGTGTCAGCTGGAGGCTTGGCTTTAGTGACATCATGACCCCTTATTTTCCTTGAATGTCCTAGAAAACCTGGTGAAGCCATGCAGGGAATTCACTTCAGTGCCTTAAAATCAGCCAAATCCAGCCCTCCTGTGCTGTGCAAAAGGACCTGGGGTTATAAGCAAGGACCTTGGAGTGGGTTTTTCACCTTTAATGATGTATGACTGTCATGGCAGTTTCCAAACATTTCATAACTGAAAATCAACCAGACTTGATTTATAATTTACTCTTATCTGTGCAAATTATGCTACACGCACACTCTCACACACACACATATATATATATTTTATATATATATATGTGTGTGTGTCTATAAAGTATGTATGCTGTAATGTATATAAATCTATATTGCAGGTAGATAAATCTATGGTAAATCTACTAGATATCAGTAGATTTTGCACTGAAATGTATTTTACTCTCTCGATTGCTCTTATGACAAGCGGCAGCAGCGTTTTCCAGCTTACCTTGGGGTTTTTTACACCAATGTCACAATAACTGAGATTATTATTATAAATATCTCAGAGATAAAATAATCAACCACACAAAATCATATTTGTTGCAGGACAGTCAAATGGACTCTCTGGTTTTGTTTTGCTCCCAGGGGGGCAAGATTCCCATCCGATGGACGTCTCCAGAAGCTATTGCCTATCGGAAGTTCACGTCAGCCAGCGACGCCTGGAGCTATGGGATCGTCCTCTGGGAGGTGATGTCTTATGGGGAGAGACCCTACTGGGAGATGTCCAACCAGGATGTGAGTAAATTGTTGTCTGAGTTGTGTTCTCAGATAAGGGATCAAGCTGTGAAAGGAGGCCAAGAGCAGGTGGCTCTGAGTTTTTGATGGTGACATTGAATAAGGTGTGGAGAGGAAAACCGCCACATCTCCCTGGTCAAGTAAAAGTTCATTAGAACTTTAAAAACCCACCATCTTTATAGCAGTGTTTTGGACCTCTGAAGGAGCAGAGTAGAGTATTTTATCCCATTGGTGGTTTTCTGTAAGATGATGCAAATAATTCCACTGGAATGAGGTCACTGCCTTTTACATTCCTTAGCTTGTTGTTAGAAAACCCTCCTAAATTTCTGTTGATCCCCTTTTGGTTCCACTTGTATAATACCCTATAGAAGTTTTCTGTAAATGTCAAATGCACAGAATAAATTGCTCTTGGCACTTGTGAAAAAGAGAAGCAAAGCATTTCTGCTAAGAGTTTAATGAAACCAAAATGCTTCTGGAAGTAATCAATGGATAAAATAGAGAAGGAGAGTGATCTGATTAGACTTCCAATACATGTTTCTTTGTAACATTAGTATACTGTCCAAGCCTGCAATCCAAATGATTAATGGAGCTCTCCCAGTATTTATTAAAGCATAACATTTCACCAAAGAAGATTTTTTTTTTCTTATATCTATTTTGGGTTCTTTTTCTGTTGTTTTATTAATTTTAGATTTATTCTACAGGAGTTTCTTATGGATCAAATTTTATGGAGGGCAGTCACTCACACAAACAGATTTTCCAAGGAGATTATATACATTGTTACTAGTTGTAAATTAAAAAAAAAAAGTCAGTAACATAGTTGTAGTCAAACATTTTTCTGTACTACTTTGTGTTAAACAAGGAAAAAGAGGAGAAAACTTCCATTTAAATGGGTATCTCTGTAACCCAAATCTCTGTAGAAAATGATGCATTTGTTTTAATTGGTAATGAATGTTTTTTGTGGAGATTAACGTATCCTGTTGTGCAGACTGATATATTAGTGGAATGTCTTTAATAATAGCCCATTGAAATCTAAAATGGAAGGATTAACCTATTTATATACCTCTCCTTCATGGCTGCTTAAAGCATTAACTGTTCTCTTGTCCTTGTTCTGATTTAGAATAGTTTCTTGTGCTTTTCAATTAATTGATCCAGATGAAAAGGAAAGATTAGCAGAATATGGCTTTATCATTTTCTCCATTGAATACATTGGGTTTTTTTTATTCATGGGGCAATAGTTGCTGTAGGCCTGATCAAGAAGTGTTGGATTCTAGTGAAAAGGCTGGATTAAAAAGCTTCTTTACAGCATAAATTCTAAAGTAATCTTGGTTTTGTGTGTGCCAACCTGGAAAAATTACAGAAAATCTGGACAAATTTTATCAGCCTAGGCAAATTATAAGGAATTGGGTTTACACTGCCTAGTAGAAAATGTATAGTTATTCATGAGGTAAATTTTAAAAACATTTTGTGGCCCTGTGACATCATCCACAAGACCTTTTGTCTGTCAGTTCAGGATGGCAGTGAGGGGCAGGTTGATTTTTCGGCAGGGTAGGCTGTTTTTCCTGTTGGTGTTTTGAGTTTTGCATCCACTGGAGGATGTGGAAAGTTTTTTTCCTGCTGTGCTGGAGTTCAGTGTCCACTGGAGGATGTAGAAAGCTTGTGTTTCTAAGGGTAATCAGAGGAGAGATATCCAAGACCTTTTGAAGTTTGGCATACTTAAGCAAGCTCTTGCTAGCTGTGGCTTTTGTTTATGGATTTATTTCAACTGAGTGTGAGTTTTTGAGATCCTTTCCACACACTCACCTTCTTCAAAGTCACACACTGTATCTTAACTCCCCTTTCTGCATGCGTAATCTACTGCCTGGTTTACTTTGCAGATAAAGGAGAGACAATTAGTGAATAAACACGTTTGTTTAAACACACAATGTCCACGTTAACGTTCTCACAGCTGATAAAAACCCAAGTTGCTGTAAAGTGCCTTTAAGATTGCACAAACTTTTCTCCTTGTGCAGGTGATTAAGGCTGTGGATGAAGGGTACCGCTTGCCACCTCCCATGGACTGCCCAGCTGCCTTGTATCAGCTGATGCTGGACTGCTGGCAGAAGGACAGAAACAACAGACCCAAGTTTGAGCAGATTGTCAGCATCCTGGATAAGCTGATCCGTAATCCCAGCAGTCTGAAAATAATCACCAACGCGGCGGCAAGGTGACATACTAGATCTTACATTGCTCATGAACCTCTTTGATTCCTTCATCTCCTGTAATTAGAATTTGTTTGCACTCTTTACCACCTTCTCTCTTGAGAGAAGGATTTAATGTTATTGTTTTTATCATTGCCCTGGTTATTTTACTAATTATTTGCTGTTACTTTTCCACTCTGTGAAAGATTTTTGTGCTAATGCTAAGACTGAGCAGAGTTTTTTTTGAGAAAAACGCAGCTGGCAGATTTGGCCATCATGTGATTTCCCTTTTCCTTCTGCCCTTTGGTGGTGTTTTAAGTGCTTAGCGTTTCACAGGTTACAGCCAGCCATGTTCCTAAGTATCTTTCTGAATTGGGTCCAAATATACTCATGCTCTTCTCTGACAAGTCATGTTAACTTTAATCATCTGAATAATCTTTTTTTTTTTTTTCTTGAGTAGTGCTCACAGACCTAAAAATGCACTTACACTCCCTCTTAGATCAATGTGTGAACTAGGAATTAATTTTCAACCTGTGCAATGTTCCTAATTGCATTTAAAACATTCATTTTTAATCCTGGGTTTTCAACACGCTCTGGAACATCATCACTATGATGAGATAAGAATTATCTCATTGAGAGAGAGCAGCTGAAGAGTGTGTTGACACCTAAGGGCATAATGAAGACGTGGTGAAAGAAGAGCTTTAGTTAAGTAGTGTTAAAGAGACTGGGTTTGCACAATGCACAAAATGTCATACTCTTACTGAAGGAGCGTAAAAGTATTTTTAGCATGAATGGTAGTGCCAAATCCTCTGTCAGCAAAGCAGGCAGAGTCAGGGAGAAAAGCACTCTGCTCCTCTGCTGCTTCAGAGCCAGGCCCTGGAGGGGCTTCTGCGTGTCACTGGGCAAGAGACCAGAGCCTGACACGAGGCAGGTTTCAAAAGGCAGCACAGAAAACCTTGCTGTCAGACCTCTCCTTGTGATGCAGCACACTTCCCACCACGGCAATTGGATGGGAAGGCTGAGGGAAACGGAGCAAAGGCAGTGGGAAGAGCTGCATTGATCCTGCAGCCTGCTGTGCGACTGCCATGGACCTTGCCTCCTCCTTCCTGGCCCTGGCTTTGTGCTGCATCCTCAGCCAGACACTGGCCACTCTAATTGCCTCCTGCTGCCATGCCAGAGGGCAGGAAAAGAAAGAAAAAATGGGAGGAGAAAGGCAGGCATACTAATGGGCTCTGCTTTTAAATTTATATATTGAGAGAAGATGGCTCGCACAAAATTATGTTTCAGTAATTTTGCTTGGTGAGTGTTTAACAGGTAGGAAACCAACATGTTTACAGAAGCAATTATTTCTAGGAGGTGACAGAAAAAACCCAAAAACCAAAAAACTAAAAATTAAAAAAAATAGAAACAACCACATTTTTTGGAAAAAACTCCAAACTGTTTAAACGCCATTTTCTTAGTCAGGTACATTTCTTCCAAACAATTTGCACCACTATATGGCAAACGATGGGTGCAAAGAATGATTTTCTAGGGATGTGCTGCAGCAATCTGATGACATGGGGAGTTGGAAATCATGATTATCTTGTTTGCAGAAACCTGGGCTGCAGGTTTTTCATTCCAAACAGAAGCAAAATGTTTGTGGTCTTGTTTGTGGTCCTTCCAGTTACAGATCTGAACTGCAACAGAGATAAAAACAGTGTGGAGCCATAATTCCCAGTTACATGTTCATAGCCAGTAGAAGCTGATATCCTCTAGTGGGGACCAAATTCAGTCTGGGCACCATTTCCACCTGCTGGGTTCTGTGCAGAAGCTCCACAGGGGGATATTTCTTGTTCCCTTTTGTTTCTCCTGTTGAATTCTGTGCTTTAGTGGCACAGAGGGTGGCAGAGGCTGCACATCCCTAGCACAGTGCCACACTCCCTGCTCGTGGGGAGGCAGGGAGGGAAGGCAGGAGGTTGCCTGCATGGCAGGGAATCTCTCACAACTGCTTTAGGTGAGCTTTCAGTGAAATTCTTCTCCTGCTGCTGCTTGGTTTGGGTACTGAGCACTTTTCTGAAGAGGGCAGCATCAAAGATTATTTCCTTTTCCTTTTCCTTTTCCTTTTCCTTTTCCTTTTCCTTTCCCTTTCCCTTTCCCTTTCCCTTTCCCTTTTCCTTTCCTTCCCCATTACTCCTCCACTGCCACATCCCTGCACATTCCTAGGCAGTGCAGTGTCTGTCCCTCACTGCCTGGTGACACACAGGGCACTGTGGTGTCCCAGCATGGGAGTTCCTTCCCTCTGTGCAGGAGTTTCTTGCAGCTCAGGGAAGGCGTGATCCATGATCTCTCCATCTCCTCACACAAGTGAGGGGTGCTGGGCAGCCCTGTGCCATGAAATCATTGTCAGAGCAGACTAATCTCAGCCCTTGGACTAATCTCAAAGCTTAGACACTGCTGGAAATCTGCAGCCAGCTCCACACCCCCAAGGTGTCCTGCAGAGGGGCACTGGTGGCAGGGAACAGCCCCTGGTGCTGCTGGCCAGGGACTGAGCCTGGAGGTTCAGCAGTGCTTTTTGACAGGCTGACAGAGAAAAATGAGACAGAAAAAATGAGAAGTGAGGCTTAAAATGGGGTGGAGCCTTGCCATAGCCTTGTGTGCAGGAATGTGTAAGTGTAAGTATCACAGAAATGTGATACTGAAGGGCTGTGGGTCAGGGCAGCTCCTGGAGAGGGGGACACAGTGGGATCCCAGAGAGGGACAGACATCAGAGCAGGGACAAAGCACTCAGGACTCAGCCCCGAGGGCTCTGAGGTTTCCACTGGATTGAGTGGCTGCTCCCAGTTGTTATTTGAGGCCACAGCACTCCCACACTGCCTCTCCTCCTACCCATAATAAGCAATTAATCTAAGTTATAGAGGTCCCAGCTCTCTTCTAGCTGTGTCTGTGGTGCTACTGGAGGAATGCTAAAGCTTGATGCCCACCATATGCTGGTAGGTGTTCACAATATTCTCGAGTCAGGGAAAAAATGTTTAACCTGACGACGTCTGGTGCAGATGCAAAACCTGTCTTTTCTTACAGATTTCAGGGCTGATGTTTGTTTAAAATAGTCCCAGCACCGTTGTATCCTATTTAAAAAACATATTTCTGGAGGTGCATAGGATATCCCTGTCCTCTGGGTGCTGGTTGCTGTTAAGTGACCTCCACTGGAGGATGTGCTTGGCTGAACATCTGATTCCAGGCCACAGCCCAGGCACGTTCTACACTAATACCTCTCAGAAGAGGAGTCAAAGCCTTCAATTCCCTCTTTCCTTTAAAGTTTTCTATCCCTTCAGGCCACTCCATGGTATCTAATAATTTCTTGATACCCGAGGGGATGTTTTTATCCTTATTGATCATGGTTTTGCAGACTGTTCTACGTGCCTTTGAACCTTACACTGACAAAAGGTTTTTGTAGCCTCAGCACAGCAAACGCTTCATAATGCCTTTGCTGGTGTTGTGTTTCATCTCAGATTCATGTACAAATTCCATTTCTAGTCCTTGTAAAGCGCAGAGTATGGCTGGTTTCTTTCTTACCTGTCTAAATTCACTTTTTAATCAGGTGGCCACCCTGAGCTCTTGCTAATAAGACCTGCACTGGTTCTGGACTCATGGGGTTTTTGTGTCCCTTAGGCTGCCTGGAGTTAACCAGCTCTGTGAGGGGCTGTAGGAACAGAACTCAGTGCAAGCCATGTGGTTTTCTAAAGCACAGTCTCATGATATTTTTATTTGATTTATGTCTTGCTGTTCTTTCCTGTTTTCTGAACATGATGTTCATTTTTCTAACAGAGTCCTTAGGTTGTTTGGATATCTTTAGGGTGGGAGTGAGTTCATCGTTCTTCCAGTTTTGATCAATTTCATTATTTTTCCTCTTGAGCTTATTGTTTTTTCAGCCCACTGTGTATTACTTCACATTTGTGAACATTTCATGCAGATACAAAGCAGATGGAAACTTTTCTCAGCTTGGGTTGGGGAGTCAGAATCACTTCACCCACCTGCAAGCAAGTTGGTGAGGCTGAAATGGCTCTTTAGCTGTTGTTTCATTTGTGTGGGGAAGAAATTGTAACTTGAGTCATGCAACTGGAAGTATTTTGTGTACATTGCAAATCTGAAATGGACTCAGGATTTTTTTTTAATCCATTTCACCTTTTTCACTGATTTACATTTATGATTTTTTACTTAAATTTGTTTGTGTACACTGCAAATCTGAAATGGACTCAGGATTTATTTTTTTTTATCCATTTCACCTTTTTCACTGATTTACATTTATGATTTTTTACTTAAATTTCTGATTCTGAATTTCTTTATTTTTATATATGTTTATATATATTTACAATGTATATTACTATTTAATGTATATGAATATTACTCTTACGTGCCCATTTGAAAAAAATATATTTAAAACATACTGTGTAATTTAATATATTTAAAGCCTTTATGTGTCCCAAAGCTGTCACAGTACAGTGTGATGTTGAGGTATAAGGGTTGTGACACAGGATTCAGGCAGCTCAAACGTTGTGGCAGCTTTCCCATATCTGCTGTGTGTGTTCACATCTGTGATGTAGGGGAGGACTGGAGTCATTTAGTCTTCATGAACCTGTGGAACAGGAATAGCTGAGTTAATGCACATAAAAAAAGAAAATTGAAGTTTGATTTTAGTTCCTTTAGAAATTCTGGATTTCTGCCACGCCTCTGACTGATTGCAAAACTGACACGGAATCTGCACCAAGAAAATCCCAACCTGCTTCTGTTTTTGCTTTTGGTAGCGTGAAAGTCAGTGTCAGGTATTGCTGTTGTTTTTCTTTACTACAAGCGCATGTTTAGGAGAAGAGGAAAAAATTGTATTACAAGGAAGGGGAGAAAAACACCTGAAAATTCAGGATATTTCAGAAAAATCATAGCTGAAATTCTTTTCATATAGCCCAGAAAATTTAGGGGGTCAGGGTCAGTTGTTCTTCCTGATGAGAAAACATGTATGAATAATTAATTCCTCATACATTCCTTTACTTGT